GAAATGTCACTTCTCGGTCTAAAGCGCTGCAGTGCGGTCTGTGCGAAGGATGGGCCCACACAACGTGCAGCGGCATTGAGCACGATCTTTATGAATGCCTGAAAAGAACGGCATCTTCCGCGCTAACATTCCACTGTGACAAATGCCGACTTATTGTTAACGATAAGTCCCTTCTGGCGAGTCTGACTTTGGCGAAAAAGACAGATAATAACGCCGCATTGGTGACGCCCGTACTACCGCCGGTGACTCCTCCATGCATCCATACTGTGCGCAATCGAAGCCGCTCCTCCTCCGCTTCATCAGCAAACACACCAATGCATAGTTCACAAGACAACCGAAAAAAGCCGTCTGTCGGCACTGCAACTGCGACCTACGCAGCCGTGGCCAGCGCTGGCGCCGCAAAACCACCCGGCTGGGTCCAGGCCCCTAAAAAGAAAAGTTGTAAGGCGGTAAACAACAACAAATCGAAATCACCGTCTACAGTGTCACAACTAAAGTCTGTGCTAAACAAGGTAACGCGACTTGAGAAATTGCTAGCCGAGAAACCGGCCTTACCGAAACCGGTGAAGCCAAGCGATAGCAAGTCACCACGGGGACGGCTATGCAACGTCATGATTTTCCACGCACCTGAGTCGACTGATCCCAGTCCCCAGGTACGCTATGACCATGATGTGCAATTCTTGCAGTCTCTAACCGACAAACTACTGGATGTTGGCGAACCCGGGTTACGAGTGAAACAAGTCACTCGTCTGGGGAAACAAGTTGATGGCAAGTGTCGGCCTCTGCGCATCGCGTTCGCCGACGAAACTGCCCCAAGGTTAGTACTGTCCCGCCTCGGTCGCCTAAAGGGGATGAAAATCCATGTCCGGCCAGACCTTGATCCCGCAGAACGAGAGCAGCTGAAGTCTGCCGTGGTCGAACTGAAACGACGCACGGACGCCGGTGAAACTAACCTGCGTATCGTAAATTTTCGCACAGTTGCCCGGATACCCCGAATCCGGGTAAACAGAGCAATGACGCTTCAAGCTCGCCCAGCGGTTCCTACCGCGGATTGCGTGTAGCGTTCATTAATGTATGCAGCTTAATGAACAAGCACGATGATCTGATCCGCTTCATTGCTTCACGTCGGCCAGATGTGGTTGGTTTGGCTGAGACGTGGTTGACATCTGAAGTGACAAGCGAAGAAATTGCGATCACGGACTATTCGTGCTTCCGCTGTGATCGACAGTCGAATAGCCGCGGTGGCGTCCTACTTTACCTCCGGTCTACCCTGTGCGGGAGACTCGTGAGCACCTACCGAAGCATTGACTGTCTATGTGAGCAGCTGTGGTGTTCGATCCACCTACGACGCGGCGAACTGCTTGTGGGTGTGGCATATCGTAGCCCACTGAGTAACGGATTGGATTGGCTCACACACACCCAAAACCAAATGAGTCGCCCACAGTTCCTGCTCACTGGCGACTTTAACCTTCCTCGAATCTTATGGCCTGAAGTTCAGCTTCTCCCTGGCCATAATGAAGTGGAGACAAGATTCGCCGAACTGGTACTGGAAACCGGAACGGTGCAGCACATCACGCAACCCACCCGCATAACCCCGCGCTCAATGCCATCATGCCTGGACCTGCTGCTAACCAGCTGCGAACAAACAGTGCATGACATGGAAGTTCTTGAGCCCATGGCGGCCAGTGATCACTCGATAATTATGGCCACTATAGACCTGCAGCTTCCATGTGTGCGTCCAGTGGCGCCAACATACAACTATTGGAAAGCTGACTTCGATGGCCTCCTTCTAGCTGCCAATCAGCTTGATTGGTCTATGCCACAGGATTCATCCGTTGAAACTTGCTGGGCAAACATTAAAGGGGCAGTGCACTCATTGTGTGCGCAATTTGTACCCCTCAAGACTCGGAAAGTTGGACCAATGAAACCCCATTGGTTTGACAAAGAGTACAACCGACTGTCTCGACAACGACGTCGACTATGGAATGCGTTCCTCCTGTCTGGCTCTGCCGATGACTATGAGGCATACAAGCGACAACGAAACTTGTGCAACAGCACAAAGACGCGAAAACGCCGTCAGTTTGAGGAGTAGCTTGCTTGCTCAGCTAAAACTGCCCCGAAGCGCACATTTGCGTACGTGAAGCGACGCCTGAAGTCTGCAGGTAATGTGCCGGTGCTAGTGGGTTCGAACGGACAACCACTAAGTTCAAGCACCGAGCGTGCGTCCGCATTAGCGGCGCACTTCGCTTCTGTATTCGCAACTAACCAAACCTGCGCGCCAAGCTCTGCCGTCGCCGCACCGACTGAGCTAACCGACTTGATCTGCGACGTCGCGGAGGTACATGGGCTAGTCAGCTGCCTAGACAGCACGAAGCCAGCTGGACCGGATGGTCTCCATCCGCTGATCCTCAAGTCCTTGTCAGCTGTGATCTCACCTGCTGTAACCGACCTGTTCAACCGATCCCTGTCCGTAGGCTGCGTGCCTTGTGACTGGAAATGCGCCGTTGTCAAACCGATTCCAAAAGGCGGTGACACACGCAAAGTGGAGAATTACCGCCCTATTTGGTTGACCGCAGTGTTGTCGAAAGTTCTGGAGAAGATTGTGAAGAAGAGACTGCTCCAGCTATTGGAGACCAACTCTCTCCTGACGCCTGCACAGCATGGTTTCGTGAGAGGCCGCTCGTGCATCACTAACCTGCTGCTAACATGGCATGAATGGTTGCAAGCAGTAAACCAACGTAAGTCAGTCGACGTGGTATACGTCGATTTCAGTAAGGCCTTCGACAGAGTGAATCACGAGATCCTCCTTCAGAAACTGAGGGAGTGCGGAGTCGGAGGCTCGCTGCACCAATGGATCCGTGACTTCTTAGTTGGACGGAAGTGGAGGGTGCAAGTCGACAGCCACCTGACCGACTGGTACCCGTCGACGAGCGGCGTTCCTCAGGGGACGGTGCTTGGCCCCATTCTCTTCCTGATTCACATCAACGACGTGCCCAATCTCCTTCGGTCGCCGTGTGCCTAGTTCGCGGATGACCTGAAGCTATGGAGGGTGATCCATACGTCGGACGACTTTGACATACTTCAGCAGGACCTCGACTGCCTCTCCATGTGGTCCGCCGAAGTAAGTTTGCCTATCAACTCGGCAAAATCGCTACTTCTGTGCCTCGGTAAAGGTGGAGCGGGCCGATCGTACACTCTCGACGGCCAAGTTCTACACCCGACGCATTGCGTCAGAGACCTTGGCGTTATACAACGTTACGACATGAAGTCACTGGACAACACGGACAATATGTATCGCACAGCATTGCGTTCGCTGTGGGCGCTGAAACGTAGCTTCTGCACCTGGTCGAAAGAGATTGCCACTCGTCTCTTCACATCCATTGTACGACCGGTGCTAGAATACGGCTCACCCGCCAACTGTCCGTTGACGAAAGGCGAGATACACAAGCTCGAAAGAGTACAACACATAGCCACACGGCTCATTCCCGGCCTTCAGGGTGTGCCGTATGAAGAAAGATGCAGACAATTGGGTCTGTATACTCTAGCCTACCGCCGCGTGCGAGTGGACCTCATCATGACCCATCGGGTATTGCATCTGGGTGCTTATCCGATGCTGAGGCCACTGCTCCATGTCCGTGCGTCAAGCAGCACACGAGGTCACCAGTACAAACTGGTAGTCCCTGACCTCAAGTGGGTAGCTCATCCCTTGTGTCTTGAGCGGCGAGTGGTGAACATGTGGAACCGTTTGCCCTCGCGGATAGTAGAAGCGAACTCGGTGTCGGAATTCAAACGATTCCTGGACGCGCACTTTGTGGATGCCAGATTCGACGAAGCCTTCACAGGAAACTGACGAAGGAATCGTTCAATGATTATAACCCATGGAGCCCGTTAATCCACCAACTGCAGCTTCCGAAACGATGCCCATCCGTAATAGGCGGCGGAGCTGGTGAAGGACTCCATGTGGTTCATCCAAGAATATATGGTAAGTACATGGAGATTTTTTCTATGCTTGTAAATATTTTACTTTTTTCACCTGGGCTAGCTCACTACTACAGGTAACACTGTGTCAGTGGGACATGTCCTACATTGAGATATAGCTACATAGATGTTCAACATCTTTCTCGCTATCATGACAGTATCAGTATCAGGGGGATGGGAAGCAACTAATAACAGGAAACGACTGTATACATGAGCTGCGACACCGCAACCATCGTAGACGAAATCAGGGTAGGATCCGTTTATAAGATCCGCTAAAAAATAAGTAACCAAAGAATAAGGCCTAAATAGTGACTGCCAGTGTGTCCGTATGAATCACAAACGTACACTCAGTGGAAACATTACAGGATTGAAGTGGCTCATTTCAAGAATGGCTCTCCGGATTAAATGTCAGGACGAAGGGTCCAAGGTTACAGATCCTGATACTTCTACTACCAGCGACCTAAAGTAGAAAAGGAAATATGCTAATCTCGCAGAGAGAATAATAATAATGTGCCAGCTGTACGCCGTAACAGAGCTTCGCTGCTGCGCGACCACCACCAGTCGCGCGCGGGCTGAGTATACCGTGAGGACGCCCACCCCTACGCGGATTCGAACCGTTGACCTTATGGTTGCAAAGCAAACGTGCAGACCACTCGGCCACCGGCCGACATCTCACAGAGAGAGTGATCTACCTGATCACCTCGGAGGTTCAGGATAAGTAGGCTACTGCATGAAACACGTTGGTAGCAGCGTGCCACTCCACGAGATGTTGGTATCTTGGCATCACACTTAATAAACAAGGTTTTGTGCAAAGTGAAGTTGAATCAGTTTGTTCTGTAGTAACACTAAACGGCCAGTTATGCGGTAGATCATCAAGTTAAGCCGTCGGAAGACACCGAAACAAAAGCAACTACGCTGCAGAGTAAGCGAGGCTTAGACTGGACAAGTGCTAAAGCTGAGATCAAGCAAAAAAAACCCAGGAATGTACGCGAGCGCAGAAAGTTGCAGGAAAAACGATAAGTACAGAAAAACTCGTTTAATTGGACTATTTGGCGATTAACAACGACCTAACTGTGTTCTCATGAGCTTTCTTTCGCCAACTGTTCTGCTTTCTCAAAGACGTCCTCGATTGCGCCAACCATAAAGAATGCGGCTTCCGGGATGTGGTCAAGTTCCCCTTAAAAATGTGTGAGTATCAAAAATGGCTTACCTTCTATTATCATCTTGAAACCTTTAATCGAGTCCTTCAAGGAGACCAACTTTCCCTCACGACCAATAAACACCTCTGCTACCTGAAACGGTTGGCTGAGGAAGCGCTGAATCTTGCGAGCTCTTGAAACCGTTAATCTATCTTCTTCGGATAGTTCGTCCATGCCGAGGATAGCAATGATATCTTGCAGTGAGCGATGATCCTAGAGAATAAAGGCGAATAAAATATAGTGGTACCTGAAGTATTTTCTGGACGCCTCTAGCAACGGAATAATGCTCTTTTCCCACAATGTTGGGATCCAAAATCCGGCTATTTGAATCCAAAGGATCGACAGCAGGATAGATACCTAACTCCGCAATAGCACGGCTCAACACAGTCGTGGCATCAAGATGCGCGAATGTAGTGGCAGGAGCAGGGTCCGTTAAATCATCAGCGGGGACATAAATAGCCTGAACAGATGTTATAGAGCCTTTTTTGGTGGACGTAATACGCTCCTGCATCATGCCCATATCGGTAGCTAAAGTGGGTTGGTAGCCCACTGCGCTGGGGATGCGACCCAAAAGGGCGGATACTTCGGAGCCCGCTTGAGTGAAACGGAATATATTGTCGATGAACAAAAGAACATCCTGGCCTTCTTGATCGCGGAAATATTCTGCCACTGTAAGACCGGTAAGGGCGACACGTGCACGCGCACCAGGGGGCTCATTCATTTGTCCATAAACCAGAGATACCTGAAGGTGTTAACCGGAAGCTGTAGAAATACCTTGGAGTTTGTACCCTTGAGATCAATGACACCGGTAGTAATCATTTCATGATAAAGGTCATTTCCTTCTCTGGTTCTCTCTCCAACACCAGCAAATACAGAGTAGCCTCCGTGAGCGCGAGCAATGTTGTTGATCAGTTCCATGATGAGAACAGTTTTTCCGACACCGGCACCACCAAACAACCCTGATACATAAGTAAGCTAAAAGACAAGCTCACCAATCTTCCCACCCTTCACATAGGGGGCCAGCAGGTCAACAACTTTGATGCCAGTCTCCAATATTTCTTGATCCGTGCTCATTTCGACAAAAGCAGGGGCATCCTGGTGAATACCGGATTTCATCTTTGAGTTAATTGGGCCCCGCTCATCAATGGGCTCACCGATGACATTCATAATTCGGCCAAGTGTCTCAGGCCCAACTGGAACTTGTATTGGTCCCCCAGTGTCCACGCATTCCTGTCCGCGCACAAGCCCTTCAGTGCCATCCATCGCAATTGTGCGAACGGTGTTCTCGCCCAAATGTTGGGCTATCTCCAAAATCAAACGAGGAGAACGACCTTTCACCTCAAGAGCGTTAAGGATTGGAGGAAGGTTTTCATCAAACTGAACATCGACAACCGCGCCGATAACCGCAATAATCCGGCCGACACTGGGAGAGGGAACGGACGCTGCAGGCTGGGCTGCGAAAGCACGGGCTGGCCAAAAAAGTAGTTTAACTAACGTACACTTACCATTAGGATAACTGGCTAAATACTGAAGTTTCGCATGTGGCTTAAATATAGAAGAACCAGACCTCAATGTACCAAACACCGACCGCAAGGGGCGGAAGAAACTCATGGGGCGGCAGATGGGGCCAAGGAAAACTGCGGATAACACCGATCGTTCAATAATGCAACCACTGTAGAAGCGAAAAAAATTCAACGGATCACACTTAGTAGGGTTTTGTTGGCAATTACACGTTTAAAATGCAGACAAAGGTACGTAAGGTTCTCATTGTTTGGTGCCTTATAATAGTGTAACCTAACAACTGAAATTAGTTTTGATGGGTCCGAGCATGTTTTGCACAACCGAAAAGAATTCCGGAGACATTATTGCATGCGCCATTGTTTACTATGAGTGAATTGTATTATGTTACATCAAAGGTTAAGTTCTATATTGTTGCTTCGGTCCGCACAATAAAATAATGCACGGAACCTCATGCGTGTATGAACTGAAAGGATCCTAGATGATGAAACGTTTTTAATAAGGATGATTTCACTGTTGTTTGATGAAGGTGAACCGGGGATAAATGTTGTTTCTGCCTTTCGCATTGGCAGGAAGCAGGAGGACTCTACAAAGTCTCGTCCTCTCAAGATCGTATACCAAAACGAGGATGAATGCAGGCGCATCCTCCGACGCACTTCACGTCTCAAAGGAGAATCGTTTTATGTTCTGAGAGATCTGTCCCCTGAAGATCGGATAAAAATGAAGAGTGCGGTTGGTGAACTTTGAACCCGCCGGGCAAATGGTGAGATGGACCTTCACATTGTGGATTTTCGGGTGGTTCCGAAAACTCTGAGAACTCGCTGGAGACCCATCCTTGTCCTACCCGGACGGTAAGGTCGAAGACCGGTTTGAGTTTGTCGTCCGCTAATGTGCGCAGTTTGCGGAACAAATTGGACGAGATTCAACTTCTTGCCATGGATAATCACCCTGATTTGATGGCTTTCTCTGAGACCTGGCTGTCCCCGAACATCCGTGACTCGGAAGTATATATCCCTGGATATCACTTCTCCCGAGCTGATCGCCACGGAGTGAGGTCAGGCGGGGGCGTTATACTCTACGGTAGGACGAACCTTAAAGCACATTTGCTTGATGCTACTTGTGATATAGATGGTGGCTTCGAAGCTCCGTGGTGTCGTATTCATGACGGGTGTAGATCTCCCCTGGTCTGTGTCGCCTATAGATCACCCTTGGGTTCGGGAGCTCTTTTGCTTGATTCAATTAAATCGCACGCCAAAGGACTGCTTAATTGTTGGAGACTTCAATGCACCTGGCATTGACTGGGACCTGCTTTATTGTGGTCTTCCTTTTGACTCTTTTGATGCCCTTCTCCTTCAGACCGTTCTCGATTGTAACTTGTCTCAGCATGTATTTTCACCCACTCGGTTGTTCTCAGGCCAAACGCCGCACATTCTTGATCTAGTGTTATCCCCGATGCCGTCAGATGTCACCGACCTGGTTATTATGCAACCTATTGGTAAGAGAGATCACTGTGCTATTTCCTTCCAATGGGTACGTCGGTTTTCTGTTCATGACCAAGGTGATTTCCGGCGTAATTTCCGGCGAGCCGATCCACAGCGTCTGCAGGAGGCTGCTTCTAACATGGACTGGACCATTCCTCATTTTTTGTGTGTTGACGATGCTTGGACTCACTTTTACTCCAACATGATGTCGCTAATCAACCAGGTTGTTCCTATTTCTAAAAGTAGAGGTCTAACAAGTGGTCCTCCTTGGATTGACAAACAGTTGAGGTCTCTGATGAATAAAAGACCCTAATTATGGGATCGATTCAAGTGTACACAATCGACGGCCGACTACTTGCAGTACAAAACGCTGAGGAACCTTTGTATCCTGAAGAAGCGAGAGAATCGCCAAAATACGAATTTTAATTAGCTGTGCAGTCCAGGTGCTCCCCCAAAATGTTCTCATATCTGAAAAGGGGTACCAAAGATGGTAATGGCATTCCATCTCTGTATTCCAGTGAACACGCTGCCTTACTTCAGGAGGATGCTGCGAAAGCGGATCTCTTAGCTCAACAGTATTCATCCGTTTTTACAAATGAAACTCCGTTTTCTGACGTAGTACTCCCATGCTCATCTTTGCTGGATCATCTCGAGATCAGTACGGAAACTGTTACTCAATTCCTTCTTCAGTTAGATCCGAACACCTCGCCCGGTCCTGATGGCCTGCACCCACTGTTTCTCAAGATCGTGGCTAAGTACATTGCAGCCCCAGCTTGTCATGTGTTTCGCTGCTCTGTTGAATCCGGACGCCTTCCATCAGCCTGGAAGCTGGGTATTGTCAAGCCATTATTTAAAGGAGGGAACCGCCAAGACAAAGCAAACTATCGTCCCGTTTGCCTAATATCAGTAATGTGTAAAATTATAGAACGGATTCTCAAGGGAGCTCCCAGCCTTTACTTCGACGACCGGAATGTGGTTTCGACTGCTCAGCATGGCTTTCGTAAGTCACGCTCGTGTACCACCAATTTGTTAGTTTCCGGAGAGAAATGGGCGAACTCACTGGATGCTGGCAAACGTATGGATGTTATCTACGTAGATTTCAGCAAAGCGTTTGACAAAGTTCCTCAAGAGCGGCTTTTGTTCAAACTTCAAGCAATTGGTGTCTCTGGGAGGGTTTTGTCGTGGATTTCGGATTTCCTTTCAGACCGAATTACGCGAGTTAAGGTCAACAATACGTATTCACCCTCAGTCCTTATGAGCAGTGGCTTTCCTCAGGGCTCTGTTCTTTACCAAAGTTGTTCAAATTCTTCATTAACGACCTTCCTTCAAGCCTCCGGACCGAATGCTTGATCTATGCAGACGATTTGAAGTTATGGATGGAGGTACCCAGCGCTGAGGATGATGACCGCCTCCAAAATACACTGGATCGGCTGCACGATTGGTCTCTTAAATGGCGGTTGACTATAAATCGCGATGAATGTTCTGTACTCCCCACTGGTGTTACTGAACCATTCGGTGTTTACCACCTTGGTGGTTATTTGGTTAATAATGTGAAACAGGTAAGAGACCTTGGTGTTATAGTATGCTGTGATCTAAAAACCACCCAAGATACTTTGAAGAAGGCTGCTGCGGCTAACAGGTTACTATGTTCTATCCGAAGAGCCTTCTCACGATTGACGCCGGAGATCTTCAGACTTATCTTTTCCTCCCATGTCCGTCCAATCCTCGAATATGGATTACCCACAGTTCATCCACTTACAAAGCTTAAACATGGCTTGATTGAAAAAGTTCAGCGACGCGGTTCTAAGTATATCTTTGAGTTCTGACACCTGCCATATCACATTCGTCTCCAGCATTTGAATATGTTCTCCCTGGAATATCGGCGTCGCCGAGGCGATCTGATCTAAGCTCGGCGCATTCTGCGAGGCGAGATAGGAAACGAGCTCCAAGGTTTCTTCCAGGTTAACACTGAGTGTTCGACGCGAGGCCACTGCTGGAAACTGTTCAAACCTAGGAGACTCAGACTTCACTCTGATTTTACAATTATCGACTCGTGTGGTGAACGACTGGAACTGCTTGCCTAATTGCGTCGTCAACGCGCATACGGAGGAATGTTTTAAACGATTGTTGGATTTATACCTCTTGAATTTGCAGGGTTCTTGTTGTTTCTTATGTAACTGTGACAATTTAACTTGTTAATTGCTGTTGCGTCAACACCTGCTATGATTGGGAGGTGATGGGACTGACAAAGGTCTTTCCTTCTGCTCTCTACAATACAATGATTACAATGATTACAATGAATGACCATTTAGACCTGTATTAGGTACGAAGAACATCTACTTATTTCTACATTAGCTCAACTAAGAAGGGATTGCAACCTCTGAGACTTTTGGAGTACTGTACAGTGACACCTTCCCGCGGTTAATTAGTAGACGCGCAAACATGTTAAAACATATTAAATGATGTAAACAGGCCCATTTCTAGTTCAGTTGCGACCGGAACGGTAGCGTAATCCAGTGAAAGAACCTTCTTTTGCGAATCGTTGGTTCGGAAATTGCTAGGTTTGCTTGAGCGGTTAAAAAGCGTAGAACAATGAGCACATCACACCCTGTCCAACCAATTACTGCCCAGCTTTTCCTGCCCGGCTGTCCCTGCCACGCTGGTTTATGTGAAATAAGTGAATGAAGCGCAAGCTAAGCAAGTACGAGATGGAATGTCAGCCAAATAATGATAACAATAACATGTGCGAAGAAATTAAAAAACGCACGGAAGTTTGAAGTTATAAGTCGATTAATAGAAGTAGAAGGTTTGGTACTATCATCCAAACACATCCAACTGACGCTCGGAACCCACAATTATAGACTCAGATTCAGATTCCGATTAAGATTCCGATGGACTGGAACGATAGGAAAATCCCTTGAGTGTTCCTTCTTGAGCAAATCTTTGAGCCAGGAATTGGTGAGGTGCTGTGTCTTGATAGATCTAAAACGAAACACCCGAAACACACCGTGGTCAACCAATTACTGCCCACTCCCCTGCACTAGCAGTCCCCGCTGTGTAGGTTACGTGAAGTAAGCAAGAAGTAGAAAGTAAATGGAAGTTAAAGAGGAATGAAAGTCATTTAAATGAAGGATAACAAAAAGTGTGAAGAGAGTGACAGGATAGGAACTAAGAGTTTGAAGATGGATATGGTCAGGAGAAGGGAAAGGTTTCGTGTTGCCACTCAAGCGCGTCTAACTGACGTTCGAAACCCTTAACCGTGGGTTCACAGACTACGCTTTCTGGAAGCGAGTTCCAGCGCTCCATAACCCTACGCGGTACCCGAGTTTCTGCCCTGATCCGGTCAGAAAGCGGCTTGTGTAGCTTAACGGTAGGACCGTGAAGACAAGGCTACCTAGCCGGGCTAAATGGCCAGCTTAAGTCCGTCCAACCTTCCCTGTTACTAAGTAATTAAGGATTAGGTCTCCTCGAGGCCGTCGGTAGTGCATTGAATAAATACTCAAGCTACGTAAACGCTCCTGGTACGATTGCCCCCGTAACCCCTCGACCAAGTTGGTGCGTACTCTCAAAACACTGTCGAGCTCAATTTTGTCCCGAACAAGGCAGGGCGGGCGAGCCTGGAAGCAGAACTCCAGATGGGGCCGAACGAACGCTGCGCACAGCTTCACAAATAT